TCCTCTCTCGGCTGAACATGCCCGGGGAGCTGCCGTGGTCCACGCCTGCGAACCTGGTCGGCTTCACCGTGGTTGTGGGCGATCGATCCACCGCCTGGGGCCGCCCAGTCGGATCGATAGCCACCCGGCGCTTCTCCCCCGTCGTCGGCGCGAAACGAGTCACCAGCAGCGTGATCAAACCTTTCTTGTCGTCGGCTCGCGGCCGATAGTAGACTCTGCTCCACCTCTGCGGGGGCATAGGCTGCTCCAAGCTCGACTCGTCGATCTCCTCCTCGTCGCCAGAGCAGTCGTCGCCCTCAGCACCGTCTGCGATGGAGTCGTACCAGTCGTGAGACTCGAGACCTCGAGCGCCCCAGTCCACCCAGTCGCCCGCCGCGTCCTCGCCGTGCAGCGAGGTGCCCAGCGCGCGCGGCCGCCCGCGGGAGCTTCGCGGCTGCCGAGGCCGCGCGTAGCGGCCGCGCGGTGGAGGTCGAGCGGCGCCTTCCTGATGCAAGCTAGAGCCCAAACAATTATGGATTATCTCTCGCAGCTCTGAGCACGCTCTCGCTGCCCCACCCCCTCCGTCCCACCGGGGCCCGAGGGAGGGGGTCATGTATTCGCGGCCCTGCCTGCGCGCGCTCTAAGAAAGCCCGTTAACAAACGTGTATCGGGTGGGGTGCGTCGGGTTGCTTCGGCCCATCGCCCCTCGACAACCTCGGTTGAGCTGCCAACTCTCCTTCGGGGTCGGTTCCCGAGGATGCGCGCGCGTGCACGGGCCGAGCGGGCGTAGGCCGACGCAGGCCTGCGCGCCCCGCGGCGGAGGGAGTAACCCGAGGAAGCAATTAAGACCCCCCCCCCCCTCCGGCGAAGCGATATCCCCCCGCACCTGTCCGCGCCGCCGTCGCGCCGCCCTTGCTGTCGCTCCTCGCGCGCTGACTGGCCATCTGCAGCCGCTCAGATCCGAGAGGCGTTGGGAACAGGAGCGAGCTCGCGCGCGCGCGCGCCGGGGGTCGCCTCCATCGTCGTCGTCGCATCGTCGGCCGGCTGGCCTCCTCCTCCTCCTCTTCCTCCTCCTCCTCCTCCTCCTCCCTCCTCCTCCTCCTCCTCCTCCTCCTCCTCCTCCTCCTCCTCCTCCTCCTCCTCCTCCCTACCGCGTATCTCTCTCATCCTCTTCACGGAATACACCTTACAAGCCGTGGCCTTGTCGAAGCCCCCTGGGCATCCATCGCGAGATGCATTTTCAGGGGAACAGGATACCAGGTCGGAACCTATTGCAGGCATGGCTAATATCCAGGCAACAGGCTAAATGTCATAGATCTCTTTTTTGGTTTTTGGTGAATTTGGGGGTTCTCCTCTTTTCGGCTTCCCGACGCTCCAAGACGGCGGTCTTCTCGGCGTCCGAAGACGCCTGGGAGGCTCCCAGATCGCCCCGCAATCATCCGAAAGGGCTTCCAGGCAGTCCAAGAGAGCCCCAAAACGGCACAACGCGGGCCCAAGATGGCCCTCAGAGAGCCCCATGGCGGCCCAAGGTGGACCCAAGACACCCTCCGAAGCATTCCAAATCGTGACCCGGTCGTTCAGGGAAACCGCGGCTGGAGGCAGGGTGGCCCGAGGAAGCCCCCAGAGGCCCCCAGAATTCGCCCAGGAGGCCTCCAGAAGGCTTTAAGAAAGCTTGAAACAACTTTTGTGAGGCCCCCAGAGGCTCTCCCAGGAGGAGCCTCCGCAAAAAAAACTGGGGAGGATAGGGCAAATGCGCAAGGTATGGCGAACATGAGAAAAACAACATGGAGGAAGGATAACGAATAACATTATCATAGCGGCGATGCTGGAAAAAGGCAACAAGGAATTATTGCTAAATTGTCGGCTTGGCCTTCCTGCTATTCCGCCTGCATACCAAACTTCCAGGACCATTGTGCATGGCGCGAAGCGCCACTGCAGTCTTATATATGTATGTATGTATGTATGCATGTATGCATGTATGCACGTATGTATACATATAACGGCGCACCGGGTCCGGGGGCCCGGGGCCGGGACCTCGACCGCAAATGTGCACCCCGGGGGGCCCGGAGGCTCGTCGGGGCTTGCCGGAGGCCTCCCCAGTCAGACAAGACGGCCCAAGAAGCGCCCAAGACGGCCCAAGAAACTTCCAAGAGGCCTCCAAGAGGGCTCCGAGATGCTGAAGATGGCCTCCAGACGTCCAAGGACGCCCCCAAGAGGCCCCAAGAAGCCTCCAACATGCGTCCCAAGAGGGCCCCTAGACGCAAAAATTGGCCCATTCCCTTCGTAAAACGTACATTTTCAACAAAGTTGTCTTTTGGGCTTTCCGACGTTACAGGACGGCCCAAGAGGCGCCCAAGACCGCCCCAAGACGGCCCAAGAAGCTTCCCAGAGGGCCCCAGGACAGCCCAAGAGGGCCCCAAGACGGCCCAAGAGGCGCCCAAGATGGCCCAAGAGGGCCCCAAGACGGGCCCAAGAGGGGGCCCAGAGGGGGACCACGAACCGCAAGCTCGAGCCTTCCGCCCCAAGAGGCCGCCAGGAGGCCCCCAGGAGGCCCCTCAAGAGGCCCCAGGAGACCCCAGACGTCCAAGGACGCCCCCAAGAGGCTCCAAGAAGCCTCCAACATGCGTCCCAAGAGGGCCCCTAGACGCAAGAATTGGCCCATTCCCTTCGTAAAACGTACATTTTTAACAAAGTCGCCTTTTGGGCTTTCCGACGTTACAGGACGGCCCAAGAGGCGCCCAAGACCGCCCCAAGACGGCCCAAGAAGTTTCCCAGAGGGCCCCAGGACAGCCCAAGAGGGCCCCAAGACGGCCCAAGAGGCGCCCAAGATGGCCCAAGAGGGCCCCAAGACGGGCCCAAGAGGGGGCCCAGAGGGGGACCACGAACCGCAAGCTCGAGCCTTCCGCCCCAAGAGGCCGCCAGGAGGCCCCCAGGAGGCCCCTCAAGAGGCCCCAGGAGACCCCAGACGTCCAAGGACGCCCCCAAGAGGCCCCAAGAAGCCTCCAACATGCGTCCCAAGAGGGCCCCTAGACGCAAAAATTGGCCCATTCCCTTCGTAAAACGTACATTTTCAACAAAGTTGTCTTTTGGGCTTTCCGACGTTACAGGACGGCCCAAGAGGCGCCCAAGACCGCCCCAAGACGGCCCAAGAAGCTTCCCAGAGGGCCCCAGGACAGCCCAAGAGGGCCCCAAGACGGCCCAAGAGGCGCCCAAGATGGCCCAAGAGGGCCCCAAGACGGGCCCAAGAGGGGGCCCAGAGGGAACCCCACGTGGGCCCAAGGAGGCTCAAGAGGGACCCAAGAGAGCCCCAAGAGAGCCCCAACATCGGTCACGCGGAAGAGCTCTCGCGTGACCGATGTTGGGCCCCTCTGTGGGCTCCTCTTGGAGCTCAGAGAGGAGCCAAAGATGGCCCCACGAGGGCCCCGACGAGACCCCAAGAGGACCCAAGCAGGCCCAAGAGGGACCCAAGAGAGCCCCAGCATAGGTCACGCGGAAGAGCCCTCGCGTGACCGATGTTGAGCCCCTCTTTGGGCTCCTCTTGGAGCTCCAAGAGGGGCCCAAGATGGCCCCACGAGGGCCCCGAGGGAGCCCCACGTGGGCCCAAGGAGGCCCAAGGAACCCCAAGATGGCCCCAACATCGGTCACGCGGAAGAGCTCTCGCGTGACCGATGTTGGGCCCCCTCTTTGGGCTCCTCTTGGTGCTCCGAGAGGAGCCCAAGATGGCCCCACGAGGGCCCCGTCGAGACCCCAAGAGGGCCCAAGGAGGCCCAATAGGGCCCCAAGAGGGCCCCAACATCGGTCACGCGAAAGAGCTCTCGCGTGACCGATGTTGGGCCCCTCTGTGGGCTCCTCTTGGAGCTCCGAAAGGAGCCCAAGGTGGCCCCACGAGGGCCCCGACGAGCCCCAAGAGAGCCCAAGAGGGCCCCAAGAGCGCCCCAACATCTCCTCTCCTTCCTCCTCCTCCCTCCTCTGCATCTTCCTCCTCCTCCTCCTTCTCATCCTCCTCCTCCTCCTCCTCCTCCTCCTCCTTCTCCTCTCCAGGGGAATGAAAACCAGAGGATAGCTCACGGAGAGCCCAAGCACCCTCTTGTTGCATCCATCTTGGCTTCCAGATGGAGCCCAAGAAGGCCCCAAGGAGGCCCCTCAAGAGGCCCCAGGAGACCCCAGACGTCCAAGGACGCCCCCAAGACGCTTCGCGTCACCAATTTCTTCTCGCAACGATTCCTGGGTCTGTGACTCGACAGAACCTAAGCGCGCGCGAAGCGCGCGCGTGGTTCTAGTATGTATGTATGTATGCACGTATGTATGTATGTGTATGTATGTATGTACGTATGTATGTATGTATGTT